AAGGAAGGAGGGAGGGAGAGAGAGAGAGAGAGAAAATTCTGGGCTTGGAGTCTGCTTTTGAGCCTTAAAGCCCATCCTAGGTGAGACACCTCCTCCAACAAGGTCACACCTCCTAATCCTTCCCAAATAGTTCCACAACTGGGAGGTAAGCATTGTAACATATGAGCCTTTGGGGAAGACTGACAGGAAATAAGAGGCCTGATCTTAGAGACTGAGTGAATGAACCAGTGGTACCTGGAGAAATTAAGTTGAAATAACTCCAAGCTGCAGCCTCATTCTTACCAACAAAATGAAAAGTCAAGCTGCTGAAGAGCTAGTTATTTAATTAATTTATTAATTTTATGTATATAAATGTTTTGCTTACCTGGATATGTATATATTATGTGTGTGTCTCATGCCCTTGGAGAGCACATTGAAGACACATGTGAAAGGTTATTATCCCATGTCTGCAAGACATATGTGAAGATTACTATCCCATGTGCAGAAGACACACTATGTGCAAGGTTATTATCCCATGTCTAGAAGGAACACCATATACAATATTATACACTGCATCACTGCAAGCAATTGTAAAATATCGGAAGGAAAAAATGGTTATATTCATGTTAGTTCATTCACAGAAATAAGGGGATGCAACTAAAAGAATCTCTGTACAGTTATGAGATAACTTCAAGTGCAAATTTTTGCACAAAAAATAGAAGTAGGAGCTGTGGTGCAGGCTCAGTGGTTAAGAAAGCTATCCTCCAGAGGACTCGAGTTCATTTCCCAGCACCCACATAGAGTGGCTCACAACCGCATGTAACTACACCTCCAAGGGGTCTATCTGACTTTCTCTTTTGGCCTCTGAGGACTCCTGTACGCATATGACTGACTGTTTTACACACACACACACACACACACACACACACACACACAGCCCCCAAACCCAAAAAACAAACCCAAGAGAAAGGAAGAAAGGAGAGAGGGGATGGAGAGATTGTTGGTACTCGGCATTATGCTGACCCCACCCCCTGACAATGGGTGGAACAGGCATATTGGCACTCTGGCAGATACTTAGGCAGCTCAAAGAGCTCTGTGTTGCATGGCCACATCATGGCTACCGCACGAGTTACAGGGCTGCGGCTGGGTAAGGACTCAGTACAAAGGTGCAAGCTTCCCCCTCTAAGCGAGCACCTCCACATGTTTGCTCTCTCTCTCTCCCTTCGCTCTTTCTCTCTCCCTTCCCCACCCCTCTCTCCCCCTTCTCTGCTTCTTTGTCTCTCTTCCCCTTCTCTCCTTTCTTCTTCCCTTTCCCTCCAATAAACTCCACATGGGTTTGTTGAGTCTTGTGGTTCGTGTTTTCCTGTTCCATCTACTCTACCTGCGCATATAACTGAAACAGAAGAACAGCAGAGACGGCCTAGTGGCCCGGAGTATATGCTGCCCTTGCAAGCAAGATCAGCCAGTGCTCTTTACTGCCCAGCCTTCTCTCCAGTCCTACTTTCAATTTTTCTTTCTTTCTTTTCTCAAAGTTTTTTTTTCTTTTTTGTTAGTCTTTTAATTGTGATCCTGATAGAAAACCCTTCAATCTTCAGGAAAAGTGTGCAGCAAAGGGAAAGGAATTCCTGGGGAAACTACTGAAGAAGAGACGAGAGACAAATGTTCGTTAGGAGAATGCAGGAGCAAAAAGACTCTAGAGAAGTTTAACCTCCTAAAGCAAACACAGAGAGAAGAGGAGAAAGTGCTGGAGGAGGAGGAGAACATCCCAGGCAAGCAGTGGCCCAGCTGTCCTGGGCCTGGACTGGAGCAAACTAAGAAAGACCAGGGCAGAAAGGGCCAAACTTCACCGCAGCTTAGGGAGTCCAGGCGTCCGTGCAGCCAGCTGCTTTTGCAGTCAGTGGAGATGTCAAAAAATGAATAATAGAATTCAGAACTGTACAAAAACTCTGTTCATGAAGTTCTCCCTTCTCATCCCCGTCCCCCACCTCCATCCCCGGATTCCTTCCCCATCCACCCACCACAGTGTGGTCCCAGTTGCACGGCTTTCTGAACCCTTCTGCTGCCTACATTGGCCAACACAGGCCTCTTGCTTCCTGTGATTACATAAAGCCAACACACTGCACACACTCTGCACTTTGCTTTTTTTCTTTTTGGAAAAAGCAGGAAAAAGCAAGTGCTGGGATTAAAGGCATGCGCCACCACCACCCGGCTTCAATATTTTCTTATTACCATCTTAAATGGGACATGTCACTCCCATGAGTGAATTAATGTTCATAAATATCTAGTATTCCTTTGTATGCCTCTCCCCACCCTTTTTTTTTTTTTTTCGAGACAGTGCTTCTCTGTGTAGCTTTGTAGATCAGGTTAGTCTCAAACTCAGAGATTCACTTGCCTCTGCCTCATGAGTGCTAGGATTAAAGGTGTATGCTACGGCCACCACCACCACCCCATATTCCTTTGCAAGTTTTAAAATTTCATAGGCCAAGGTGGTGGTGCGGGCCATTAGTCCGAGCACTCAGGAAGCAGAGGAAGGCAGAGCTCTGTGATTTTGAGGCCAGTCTACAGAGTGAGTTCCAGGACGGCCAGGACTACATAGCAAGACCTTATCTCAGACATCAATAAATGAATAAACAAATGATTTTTCATAAATGATAGCACATGGCCTGAACCCCTTTGCAGCTTCTGTTCTTTGAGTTTATGCATTTAACAACTTTTTCCTAGTGGAGCTGAAGATTAAACCCATTGATTTGAAACAGGGTGGGGTCTGGCACTCCTTTAATCCCAGCTCTCTGGAGGCAGAGGCAGGGGGATCTCTGAGGTTTTTTTTTTTTTTTTTTAAAGATTTGATTTATTTATTATGTATACAACATTCTGCTTCCATGTATATCTGCACAACAGAAGAGGACACCAGATCTCATAACGGATGGTTGTGAGCCACCATGTGGTTCCTGAGAATTGAACTCAGGACCTCTGGAAGAGCAGTCAGTGCTCTTAACCTCTGAGCCATCTCTCCAGCCCCATGGTATCTGTGAGTTAAAGGTTTGCCTGTTCTACAGAGTGAGTTCCCTCAGTTGGTGGTGGTGCAGGCCTTTAGTCCCAGCACTTGGGAGGCAGAGGCAGGCAGATCTCTGTGAGTTTGAGACCAGCCTGGTCTACAAGGGCTAGTTTCAAGACAGCCAAAACAAAAACAAAAACAAACAAACAAAAAACAAAACAGAGTGAGTTCCACGACAGCCAAAGCTACACAGAGAAATCCTGACTTAGAAATTAAAAAACAAAAAACAAAAAACAAAACAGGGTGGGCAGTGGTGGCACACACCTTCAATCCCAGTACTTGGTAGCAGGCAGATCTCCAATTTTTGGGCCAGCCTGGTCTATAGAGCAAGCTCCAAGACAGCCAGAGCTACACAGAGAAACCCTGTCTCAAAAACAAACAAACAAACAAACAATAACAAAAACCTGAACAGGGCTAGTAAGGACAACTTGACTTTAAATTTCCTGTCTTATTGATTCATTTCACTGACCACCCTCAAACCTGAACTTGGGTGTGTGGTGAGCCCTCTCTCTCCCTGTTCAAATCCCCGGTGATTTTATTTATCCTTGAGGCTTCAAGTCTGAAATCTACCATTCCACCCAGATAGGCTTCTAGCCAATCCACCCACTTCTGGAATCCCCAGCTGGATGCTGCATAGACAACTAGCATATCAGTGACACACACACACACACACACACACACACACACACACACACACCACTCTGTTTTGTTTTGCTCTAATCTGTCACAGGTCCTATGGAAATAGCTAGATTTTATGCTGTAGCTCACGTGGGTTAGCTTGTTTTTTTGGGCGGGGGAGGGGAGCAGAGTCTTACCATGTAGTCTAGACTGTTCCACACTCAGGATGCTCCTGTCTCTGCCTCTCAATCACTCCAATTACAGGTGTGTGCCACTATGCCCAGATTCAAAAGTAATTATTTTTGAGACAGTCTCACTGTTGTAGCCCTCACCATCCAGGAACTCAATATATAGACGAGGATAGCCTTGAACTCAGAGAGCTGTCTGCCTGGTTTATTTCTTTAAAAAATATTTTTACATTTATTTTTATGTTTATGAGAGCTTTGCCTGCATATGTGTATGTGTACCACGTTCATACCTGGTGCTTTAGGAAATCAGAAAAGGGCATCCGATCTCCTGGAATGGAGTTAGAAAAATCAGTGTCAACACACAGTGTATGGTCAGTTGGGGAATGTCCAAATTGTGTTGTGGGGCATCTGGACTTCAGAAAAGAGGCCCAGTCTTAGCAGGAACCATCGATCCTGCCCTATAAAAGCCCTCTGTTTTGGTCTGGAGAGATAGTGGCATCCCTTCTGTCAACAGAGGTTGTGCCTTTGCCCTGCCTCTGTCACCAAGCCTCTTCTGTTTCTCCACTCTGAGGTCAAAGCGACTTGCTTGGCTGAGTCTCAGATCGCGGTTCCTGCATCACCGCTTTGGGTCAAAAAGTTGCTCAGACTGTAGGTTGGAAGACGTAGGTAGAGAAGGGCAGACAGAGTGTCTTTAAAAAGTGGTAAAGTGGTAAAGTTCAGCCAGGCAGTGTTGGCTCACGCCTTTAATCCCAGCACTCAGGAGGCAGAGGCAGGCAGATCTCTGTGAGTTCCAGGCCAGCCTGGTCTACAGAGTGGTGCCAGGATAGGCTCCAAAGCCACACAGAGAAACCCTGTCTCAAAAAACAAAACAAAACAACAAAAACAAACAAACAAAAAACAAAAAGAAAAGAAAGGAAGGAAGAAAGCTAAAAGAAAACAAGCCTTGTCTCCGTAAACAAAACAAAACAAAAGGCCTGCTAAGGAGTTTTGTTGATGAGCGTAGAGTGGGAGGGTACTGGGTGGGTGTGGCCTTGACTCCGCCCAGGCTCCGATGCAATTAGAAGCCCCTGGCGCCAGGGATTGTGGCGTTGGGACACTTGCCTGTGACGGCACCAGCCGGGTCAGCCTCCCCTGTGGTCTGAAGTTGGGCCTGGGCCGACATGGAGCAGGAAGATACGTGGCAGGCTGCGCACCAGTCTCCCACGGTGAGTCTGTGGTCCACCCTAGGGTGCGATGGAGTGGTGCTGATGAATGGGATGAAGGGTGTGGGTCGGGGGGTTTGTTTAGGGAGGCTTGTTTAGTCATTAAAGTGTGCTTTTAGTCAAGCCTTAGAGCCTGTATAGGGTGGTGAAGGTGGAGCCGTTCGGCTTAGCTTTGTGTTAGCTTTGTGTTCCCCACCCATGGGAAGGGTGGGGAAGAAAAGCGTTATTATTGGAGCCCTTTGCCAGACTCTACTGATGATAGTGCGAGTTAACTTTTGGGGTGAGGGGAGTTCAAAGACAGCTTCTCTGTGTAGCCCTGGCTCTCCTGGAACTCATTATATAGGCCAGGGATTTGAGTGATTGTAGAAAGGGATTTGTGTATCATTGAAGGATGGAGAAGAAATGTATTTATTGGAACCCTTTGCCAGACTCTACTGATTACAGTGTAGTTAATTGTGTGTGTGTGTGAGGCGGTATTTAAAGATGGGTTATCTGTATATCCTTGACTGTCCTGAAACTCACTCTGTAGACCAGACTGGCTTGGAACTCAGAATCCACCTGCCTCTGCCTCCCTAGTGCTGGGATTCGGATTTTTGTTTGTTTTGTTTTTGTTTTTTGACACAGGGTTTTTCTGTAACACTTCTAGCTGTCCTAGAACTTGCTTTGTAAACCAGGCTCAATCTCACAGGGATTAAAGGTATACACCACCGACTAGGTCTCTGTCCTGGGCTATGTAAAGGAGATTAGCTTCAGACACAGACTGGCCTGCTTTTGCCTCCCCAGTGCTGGGATTAAGGGTGTGAACCACCATGTTTATTTTTGCTGGGATTAAAGGGGTGTATGACCACACCTGTGCATAATAACTTAAATGAAGTCCTCTAACTCACACTCCCTCAGTAGAGCTGCTAAAAGAATAGGGATGCTCGCTTCAAGACAATAATTAGCATTTGTGAAGATCTAGGTTCGAATTAAAATGGCCAGCACAGTTAAAACACAGTAGAGAAGGAGACAGTAAACATTGGGAGTTTCCAGAGACATCCAGAACTGGTGATTGTATATGAGGGTTCTGAAAGCACACAGCTCTTGTTATGCCGTGTAAATAAGTAGCCAAGAGGTGATTTAAGATGTAAAGGGAATGTGTACAAACTGAAAACAGCACACCAGTTTATCCGAGGGACCTGAGTATCAGTGGATGAGACCATGGACTCAGTTCCCTGTGGATACAAAAGGACAGCTGTACTTAGATCTAGGGGTGGGAATCGACGAGGATAGCCCCGCAGGTTTCTCACTGGCAGATTTGGGTATGAGGAATGAGATTTTCTGAGACAGACTGGGATTGTGGCTAGGGTAATTTGAGTTTTGGACACAGGCTAGTCTACTTCCCTGGAGCAGCAGATTTAAGAGCAAAGGCAGGGTGGTAGCATGTGCCTTTAATCCCAGCACTCCGGAGGCAGAGGCAGAGGCAGGTGGATCTCTGCATTCCTGGCCAGCCTGGTCTACAGAGCCAGTTCCAGGACAGCCAGGACTGTTAAAGAGAAAGAAAAGGTTCACTATCAGGAGATCGAATTTCCATGGAGTATAAAGTGAAAGAAACACCAGAGACTAGCAGAAAGGGGCTAGTGTGTGTGGTTTGTTAGAAGTGTTTAGACTGTGATATGAAGGTCACCAGTTACTGAATGAAAGCTTCTGTGTGGAGAAATGGGGGCCCAGAGTCAATTTTGGGGAGCACTGAGGTAGTGGTGAAAGTGCTTTAACAATAGGTGCCTGTGAAGGACTGGAAAATGAGAGGGTCCCTCTTGAGGGACAAAGCAGGTACACCCAGGCAGTGGTGGTGCACACCTATAATCCTTATAACACATGGGAGGCAAACAGGAGGATCTTTGAGTTCGAGGCCAGCCTGGTCTAGAGTTCCAGTACAGCCAGGAATACACAGAGAAACCCTGTCAAATAATCCCTTGCACATTTTTCCTTTTCCTTCCCTTCCCTTCCCTTCCTTTCCTTTCCCTTTTCTTTTTTTGAGACTGTCCTTACATAGTCTGGCTATCCTGGACCTCACAGAGATCAGCCTGCCTCTGCCTCCCAGCCACTGGAATCAAAGGCGTGTGCTACTACGCTTGGCTACCTTAAAAGGAAGTTCATTTTTCTTTTTCTTTTCTTTTGAGACTGGGTTTCTCTGAGTAGCTTTGTAGACCAGGCTGGCCTCACTCACAGAGATCTACCTGCCTCTGCCTCCCAAATGCTGAGACTAAAGGCGTGCGACCCCTCTGCCCAGCTAACAGGAGGATCTTAACAGAATTAAGGGCCAGGAGCAGATAGCAGAGTAGCTTTAAGGGAAAGAAAACACAAGCATGGATATGGCTCTCTCCCAAGCTCAGTGATCCCGAATACCTTTTGTTTCTTTTATTAGAATTCTGGCCAGGTGATGGTGGCACATGCCTTTAGTTCTAGCACTTGAGAGGCAGGCAGATCTGTGAGTTTGAGACCAGCCTGGTCTACAAAGTTACACAAAGAAACCATCTCAAAAAAAAGTTTCTGTTATGTTATGGGTGTGCCAACAATGGGATTCTCTTAAAATTTCTAATGTTTCACAAGTGACTAATAGCCACATTAGTATTCTGACTCCACTGAAGTCCCTAATCTAACAACTTGAAGTTTAATTTAAAAGTATCGAGTCATTAGTATTTAGCAAAAACTTCACATGCATAAAAATGACTCATTCCACACACCATTAATGAAACAGTGCTTAACAATTAGGCACAGCCAGTATTTGCTCAGCTACAAAGGAGGTCTGGGATGGCTCAGTGCTGCCAAGCCTAATGATCCGAGTTCAATCCCTGGAACCCACATGCAGGAAGAGAGGTTTCTATGTAATTTTTCAAATTTTAGATGTGTACCATTAAGTTACAGATACTCTTGTTATTGAACCTGGCTTTACATAGGATCTGTGGATTGGAATTGAATTTGTGTGGCAAAAGCTTTATTCATTGAAACACCTTCCCCAGCTCTGGGCTTCTGAATCTTGTACCCATTCTAGAGTCCAGGAAAGCTGAGAATTGACAACAAAATTCCAATAAAATGATGAACTCTCACTCACAGATAGAACTCCACCCCCAAAGACTCCAAATATCGCAATGGCCAGTACTCAAAACCATTTTAGGTCCCTTGAATGTACCATTTGTAAATCTGGTGTAGTAACTAATGCCTAAACCTTAGCACTTAGAACAGCACAAGTCAGGGGGATTGATGGAAGTAGGCAACCTCCTTAGCTACACAGCGAATCCCAGCCATCCTGAGGTGGAGAGTGAAACCACGGGTAATTCTCTTTTCTCTGGCTATCAAGCTTCCTGTGGTGACCCATGGTCAGTGACCGTTTCCTAGGCTTGGGGTGGAGATGTGTGTGGAGCACAGAAGAGGAGCCAAGGGGGACTTTCTTTCACATGACTTTCTTTCACATGTAGGATAATGAGACGTCAACAATGTTGCATATATCGGTGCCATCTGGAAACAATGGAGTTCATCAGCCGCTGGCCACTCAACACTTACCGAATTTGTCCGGGCCTTACGTGTTATCCAGGCAGAACGAGGGTGAAGGGGAGTCACGGATCATTATGTCACTACCTGAGCATGGTGCCAGGTACTCCTCCCAACTGACTCCTACACCTTCCCAGATGTATTGTCAGCTACCATCTAACCACCAACCAGGGAGGATGATGGATACAGGATCCCACATGATGCCCTTAGGGAATCCAGGTACTCTGGGAGTGGCCATAGCCTTCAGTGAGAATCTGATGTCTCATAGTGGCCTGCCAGGCTCAGCTTCCAGTGGGGTCCCAGTAATGGCTCACAGCAGTGCCCCACCACTGCCTTTTTCTGTCCCTTCAACAGTACCTGCTACCACAGGAATATTGTTGGTTCCAGGCATGCCTTCCGCTGGGACCCACGCCATGCCCCCCTCCATGGATCAGATGTTGCACTTAAATCACTGCAACCTTGGGATGCCCCCAGCTAGGCTCCAGCCATTGCCAACTTTAGAATCCCAGGACTCACTTGTGACCCAGTCAAATGGCCAGGAAGAACCTTTCGCACGTGAGCAGCCTACACCTGTTCCACAGGGGACAGATAACCCCAGTGTTCCAGGAAGGGCGCCCAGGAAGCCATCTCCAGTTTTAAGGCCTTACCTCTGCTCATACAGCAACTGTGGAAAAGCTTACACCAAGCGCTCTCACCTCGTGAGTCATCAACGCAAACACACAGGTGAATGAGGTTTTGGGGACAAAGGGATGTGTAGGGATCTTTGCTCTTTGTAGAATTTTTTTAGATTATGCAAATGGGGCCGGGCATTGGTGGTGCACGCCTTTAATCCCAGCACTCAGAGGCAGAGGCAGGAGGATCTCTGTGAGTTCGAGGCCAGCCTGGTCTCCAGAGCGAGTGCTAGGATAGGCTCCAAAGCTACACAGAGAAACCCTGTCTTCGAAAAACCAAAAAAAAAAAAAAAAAAAAAAATTATGCGAATGGGTATTTTTTGCCCTTTTGTCTGTATACTGCATGCATACCTGGTGCCCACGGAGGCTAGAAGGATTGGGTACCCTGGAACTACAGTTAAATAGATGGTTGTGAGCCACCATGTAGGTGCTGGGAATTGAATCTGGGTCCTCTGCAAGAGCAACAATTGTCAGGCCCATCTTTTTTTTTTTTTTTTTTTTTTTTTTTTAATGCAGGACCACTGATTTGTGATTGGCTCTTTCTCATCCAAGCTTGGAACCAAGCCTCCCTGGTCCCACCTATTTGCCATCCCATCTGGTGGTCCTGCCTCCCGATGGTTCCTTTTGTCTTCCCTTTTGTTTTCTCAATCTTTTGAGAAATGTATGTTCTTTTGTTAGATCTCTTCCTTCTCACTATGGCTTTTTCCACTCAATTTAATTCTCGTTTTCACTCCCTAGGTGAGAAGCCCTTCATCTGTGAGTGGGAGGGCTGTACATGGTCTTTCTTCCGCTCTGATGAGCTTGGACGGCATAGACGGATCCACACCAAAGATCGACCACATAAATGCAAAGTGTGTGGCCGACAGTTCATGAGGTCCGACCATCTCAAGCAACACCAAAAAACTCATCAGCGCGTGCCAGATTTCCCGATGCCTCAGGCCAACAGTGGACAGACATATGGACAGATAGCTGGTCCTCTTGCTCCTGGTCAGGGGCTTTAGCTCCCTTTCCTGGATTCTATAACCCAAGACTCTGTTGCCCAAGACCAGGTCATCTCTGGGGCAGGTGAAAATTCAGATGGAGACAGGAAGTGGTGGGGAAGGAAGCCCACATGAAGCTCTTGACACCATCGTGGATTCTTCAAAATCTGGTCCCTCACCTTCCAGGGATTACTGGTTTCTGCCATTTAGCCAGATGAGAAGATGGAACCATAGATTGGACTTAATTAGAAAGCTCTTCTATCAATTTCCAGCAGGAAACTCTCATGCCTGTTCCATAAAACCCATGTTCTCTCCCTGGGTCTTCTACGTTTTCCAGGGCCAGACCATGGGAAAAGTATCTCAGTGCTAGAAGGTACTGGACACATCGATGTATTACATCAGACTCTTCTGGCCTTCACCAACCATACGCCTAGAGTTTCTCTTCTATGGAATGCCCCACTACAGGACATGGCATCTGGCATTCCATGGGGCCACCAAAACCAAGAGGAAACTGATACTAATACTAATAGGGAAAAGAAACTCCAGTGAAGGGGGACAGGAGAGAGGCAGGCAGTGATTCCCCTCTCCTCTAGCCCCATGAATTGTTACAAGGCATTGTTCATCCCCGGTAGCACAGTGTGGGGAGACCTCCCAAGCAGCCCGCAGTCACACCCTTCAAGGTTGGTCAGGAAGCAGCAGTGCCCATCTTGGAAATGTGTTGCCTTGGGCCATTTCACACTCTTTCCATTTCACTCCATGTCCTCCCTCCTATACCTTGGCTTTGAGTGTCCCAATAAAAGCAGTGTTTAGGCTGTTTATGAGATGGCTTAGGGACAAATCCCACCGTAACTTCTTTCCTACCTGGCCCGGGGACCAGGCTGCAGATTTTTATTTATGTACTTTTTTTTCTTCAAGGTGGGGTTTCTATGTGGCTTTGGAGGTTGTCCTGGAACTGGCTGTTGTAGACCAGGCTGGTCTGGAACTCGAGATCCACCTGCCTCTGCCTCCTGAGTGCTGGGATTAAAGGCGGGCGCCATCACCACCAAGCTATTTATGTATTTTTAAAAAAGCATATTTATTGTGTACATATGTATGGAGGTCAGAGACAGCTTTTGGGGGTCCCTGGGTTTGAACTCAGGTTGTTAGTCTTGGCAGCAAGCACCTTTCCCTCATGAACCATCTTGTTGGCATTTGTTTTGCTTTTGAGAAAGGGTTTTACTATGTAGCCCAGGCTGACTAGCACTATCTTCTGGAGTTACATGTACCCACCCAGCTTCAGGTTGCCTCCCCTACCCTGCCCTCTGGTTTTAAGGGACAATAACTATCTTGGTAACTCATCCTGGCTGTCTAGAACTCCCCTTGTGGATTCAGTTGGCCATTTTACTGAGTATTAATTAAGCTAATAGAAATGAGCTTGGCCTTAATTCATGCACCTTGTGGGAGTTCAATAAAGGTTTATTAAATTGGAAAAAAGAGAAAGATAGGTGTTTGGCCAAACCACCCAGTGGCAGAGTCAGAACCCTAAATATCTGTATGCCCCCAAACTGGGTTTCTTCCCTAAGAGCTGGCACCTTCCCATAGGTGTTCATAGAGCAAGGCCCAGTCCTGGGCCAAGTGTTGACTACAGACAGGTGACTCCATCTTACATTTAAGGAACCATGTTAGGCCTACCTGGATGCTCAGGAGTCAACTCACAAGCCTCCACAATACTGAAAATGAGGGGTGCAGGGACAGCTAAAGGATGTACCAGGAAGAGCAGGTCTCGGTGTCTGAGCCAGACCTTTTACCACAAGGCTTAACCATGCATCATTCCTGGACATGCCCTTGGTTGAGCATCCTGGGCGCTGAGGAGTTAGAGGCAAAGTCACCCCAACTGTTAAGGAGTTGAAAAGCTTGTGAGCATGCTCAGTACAGCCAGAAGGTGCTCTGCAGACCCAGACTTATCCTGGGCCTCTGGGAAAGCCTTGGCTGTGCTGGCTCTGTTCTGCGTGGTCACTGACTGGGCCACTAATCACCAAAGCATTATGTGGCAAGTATTCTGTGTGGACATTATTTTAAAAATTAAGAGGGGCTCCACTGACTAGTTCCAGGCAACTGAGTTAAGGGTGCCATGTGAGTCTCTAGTTCCTGGGTGAGCACCAGCCTCTTCTATGGAGCAAGCCATTTGGAGAACAATGAATGGGCCAGAACTGGTCTCCCATCTTCCACACATGTGGGAGACCATCAGACCAGATTGTTAGGATGCAAGATGAGAGCTCTCTCTGCTAACACTTGCCAAGGATGAACCAGAGAGCACTGGTAGCCAGAACTGAGCTCTGCCTGTGGATGTCAGAAGCTACTGTTGGAAGTGTGTATGTTAGCCTGGTGTGGTGGCACATGCCTAGAAAGCCAGTACTCAGGAGATTTCCTATTTATTGTGATGTCTGCCATATATGAAAATGTTTTTAATTTTTTTTTGACATTTTGCCTATATGTGTACCAGAGTGCATGCATGGAGGTCAGATGGCAGCTCACAGTTTCCCTCCTGTCTTGTAGGCCCCAGGGATCAAACTCAGGTCTTCAGGCTTGATGGCAAGCAACTTTACTTCCCACTGAACCATATTGCAGGCCCATATATGAAAATCGTATGAGCAAAGTCTTATGTAGCCCAAGCTGGCTCTGAGCTCAGTATGTCACCAAAGATGACATTTAATTTATTCTATCTCCAAGTGCTAGGATTATAGGTGTGTACCAACTACACAGGGATGCTGCTGGAGAGAGGCCAGGGCTTCAGGAATGCCAGCCAAGCACACTAGCACCAAGCTACACCTTCAGTTGAAAGTTTATGATGCAATTTAAGGAACATTTATTTCCTTTTTAAAGTCACTTGAGTAAATTCATTTATACATATGGAGTCTTTTTTTTTTTTTTAATCCTCCAGGGTTGTAACCACTCTTGGATCTTGGTAAAGTTGGTGCTGTTTGTTATTGTCTTTATTATATATGAATCCATCTCTAAGCAATACAGTGGTTGGTTTTGTATGATTTTACTATTTTTACTCTGTCTGAGGTTCAATAAATTTAAATATGAAGATTTCTCGTCTTAAAGTTTGGAAATTATTTGGCTGAGTTTTGTCTGTCTTCCCCTCTACCCCCTATCTCCCCATGGTCTGAAGAAGAATGGCCCCTATAGGCTCATGTGTTTGAATATTTGGTACCCAGCTGGTGGAACTCTCTGGAAATGATTAGGAGGCATGTCTGTCACTCAGGTGGGCTTTGAGGTGTAGGGTCCACTCCATTCCCAGTGTGCTTTCTCTCCTGCCTCCTATGGGCAGGGACTCTCTGGTATTGTGAGCCCCAAATTAAAGTTGGTCATGGTGTTTTATCATAGCAATAGTAAGACAATCACATTTGGAGCAGGGTATGGTGGCACATACCAACAATCCCAGCCCTTGAAGTGAAGGCAGGAAGATCAGGTGTTCAAGGCCATCCTTGGTGACATATTTTGAAGCCAGCCTGAGTTATGTGAGACATACTTGAGCAAGAGGACATGCCGGCCTAAGCATTTTGTATTCAGGAGGCTGAGGTAGAGGAACATGAGTCTTCAAGTTCACTTTTTCTGGGAGGGGATATGGTCTTCCTATGTAGTCCAGCCTGGTCTAGAACTTGATATGTAGAGCATGCTGGCTTTGAACTTGAGGTAATTCTCCTGCCCCGGTCTCCTGAGTGCTAGGATTATAGGCATGCACCACCACACCTGGTGGCATGGAATTTACTTTATTAGAAATTTGAGGTGTGCTTCTAATTTCTTTGTGGGGGAGGCGGTTTCGAGACAGGGTTTCTGTGTAGCTTTGGAGCCTATCCTGGCACTCGCTCTGGAGACCAGGCTGGCCTCAAACTCACAGTGATTCGCCTGCCTCTGCCTCCCGAGTGCTGGGATTAAAGGCATGTGCTACCAACGCCTGGAGCTTCTAATTTCTTTAAATTTTTTTGTATTTCAATTCTGAGGGCATTGCACATGCTAAGCAAGTACTCTACCATTGAGCCATATCCCTGGCTTTTTACTTTTGAAATTTGAGACAGGGACTCATTAAGTCACCCAGGCTGACCATTCAAGGAATGAATTCAATCACTTCTTGCACTTTCTATTTTCCTGCCTCAGTCTTCCAAGAAGCAAGTCTGTGCTGCCCAGCTTGCTTTAATCTTTGTTGTTTTTTGAGTCCTGGTCTCACAATGTAGTTCTAGATGGAACTCACTATGTAGGCCTGGCTGGCCACCATCTCTGAGACCTGCCTTCCTCTGCCTCCAGGATGCTGGGATTAAAGCTGTGTGCCACACCACACCTGGCTTAGTTTAATTTTTTTTTTTTTGATTCAAGACATTTCTCTGTAGTTCCTGATGTTCTTGAACTCAATCTGTAGAACAAGCTGGCCTTGAACTCACAGAGATCCATCTGTCTCAGCCTCCTACATGATGAAATTAAAGGCATGTACCACTACACCCAATTTTCTTTAATATTTTATGAACAGACCCAGAGTGAGCTTTTTAACATTTTCTTACAGTTCCCCTGCTCTGTCTAATGCTTTGTATATAACATGTTTTCTGGCAAATAGAAACAAAACTATTCCCAGCAGCCCTATGTGAACAAATTAATTATTCTACCTACTTAAAAGTTTTTTGAGCCGGGCGTTGGTGGCACACTCCTTTAATCCCAGCACTGGGAGGCAGAAGCAGGCGGATCTCTGTGAGTTCGAGGCCACCCTGGTCTCCAGAGCAAGTGCCAGGATAGGCTCCAAAGCTACACAGAGAAACCCTGTCTCGAAAAACCAAAAAAAAAAAAAAAAAAAAAAAGAAAAAAAATTGAGACAAAGTCTCATGTATCTCAGGCTGGCCTTTAACTTAGTATGTAGCAGAGAATGGCTGCGAACTTCTGAACCTCCTGCCTCTACCAGCTAGCTACTGGGACTATAAGCATGTATTGTGCAGCTTGTTTATTCGGCTCAGTGCTGGGGATTTGTGTGTGCAAGTA